GGAGGGAGGTGTTTGCGTTATTCTGTAAAAAATAAGTTTTATATCAAAGGATTTCTTTGTGATTCATTCCGTAGCCTATTTTAGGGATATGTTAGGGATTAGTTTATAACAGAATATATTCCAGTTTTTATAAACTGTGACTTGTTTTAATACAGTCCTACGTTTGCCCTCACACTTACATGAACACTTTACTCAAATATTCCAAAGTGGACCTGCTGTTTTCAGGCCCAAGAGAATTAAGGGTTGAATGGTGCTTTTAAGTGCTTTTTTAAGCCAGCCCTCATTCTGCCAGGATCTCCTGAAAATTATCACACTGACATCTGGCCAGAGAAATGTATTTAGGGAATCATAGGTGAATAGTTTTTAAAGTGAAACTTTGGCATAGAGTTGGAAGCCATGTTACGTCTGTTACAGTGCAGCTTTTTAAAGATAAACTTCTGATGGCCCAGTCTTCAAGAGTTTGCTCAGCCTTTTTAATGATGACTGTTGCTTCACCAATATCAACACTTATTTTCCTAAAAGGAATATTAGGTGTTAGTGTCCCATCCCCCTGGTTTTTAAACCTAATGCCGCCTTTTGGATCTGCTCTATAGAATCTAGAGTTTCTTTGCCCCAGTCTGGAAATTGACTTAGAATGTTAAGATGTGTAGGGGTTTTGGGTTCACCCTGTGTAATTGACCTGAATAATACATATTAACATTGGAACCAATCAATTTTGGAAGCAGCATTTCAGATTACTTCAATTTTGTGAATAAAGAAGCCTATGTAATTGATTGTTTTTTTCTTTACATATTAATTAGCCTTCATTACTACTTTGGTACATTGTGCTTGTGTACATTGAGTTTACTCAAAAAAATGCATGTAGTTTTCCTATTTAAATCCTTGTGTAAGATAGGAATTTATTAGGAAGGGCATATTGGAAAATAATTTTGATCTTTTGATTTCATGCACTAGATAGACACGTTGAAAGCTATTGGTTAATATGACATATTTTCTAGCACTTGTGACAGCTTTGCTTCAGCTCTTTAGCATATTACACATGTCGCAGCTGAGGTTAGCTTCCTTGTATTGCTTCCAGTTGGAAATTATATTTTGTAATACAGATACTTACTCATGGCATTGCCAGATGTGATATTTAACCATAAACAACTTCTATATATATCCTAAAGACAGTAGATACTGATTCTTAATTAAAGAGTCAACATGTCATGCAGGGTTTTTTTGCTTCCATTATATTTTTCTGATTCAGCCTTATACCAAAGTTAAATTGATTATTTTAAAAACCAGACTAACACTCTTTTTTAAAAAAAATTAACGAGACGTTTGAACATCCTTTAAACATAAGCCAAATGTCATTTGTAAGGAAGAAATCTTAGGCTTCATATTATCTGCTTTACAGTTTCTGTTTCCCCAGTTGTCTAGAAGGTGCTTGTATTTTTAGTTGCATTCCACTTTGTTGCCCGCAGTTGTATATTAGTGTGTGGGATAAAATTTAAAAAACAAAAATATCTCCTTAGCAAAATGTATTTATAGCTTTGTATTCAAACAAGAAAACTTATTTCTGAGAAGGACATTTCATCTAGAATAAATGATTGTGTTTTTCTCGGGATTTTAAGTCCTATATAGACAAGTATTTTTCTTTGCAGATTAGATTGTTAGTAACAAAAATGATTTAATGTTTATGTGGAATATAATCTTTTTATCTTAAAGAGTAAGTACATACACATTCACAGTAACGTAGTCTAAGCTGTCACCAAGAAACACTTACCAGAAGTGAATGCCCATCTTGTAACACGTACAGTGTTACGGAATATATGATAATTTGTTAAGCACAGGAGTTCTTAATTTAATCTCTGTAGTTTGAAGAAACTTAAAAATGTTCTAAGGATATTTTTTGGCTTA